AGTAAGCAAACCAATTAATAAACCTTTGACTGATTACTCACGGACGACCTCTGGTGTTCCCCAAACTCAGTCGAGATGATACGAGGATATCAATAATTAGCGTCCGAACCAATCAACATACAAATTAACACGATGGATAGACAGTGCATCCTCATCTTCCTATACGGTGTCTCACGTGCGAAATGGGAAAGCAGAAGAGGAAGGAAAGGATTTTTTTTGAAGAGTGATACAATTTGTATAAGAGTGACTCGAAGGAGCTACTTTTAGTAAGTGAAACTAATAATAACCACACGACAAAGCGTAAATCAATCGTGAATATTATCTATAGATTATATATATATATATCATATATTTGCTTTCTTTCTTTTTGCAACTATACCAAAGTTTTTTTTTCCCTCCAACATTAACTTACCGGTAGCTGGCGCTCTTACAGATTCCATATTTACAGGTGGAGGTTCTGACAATTAACCACATAGAAAAACTTCCTTACCCTTCAACTTTGGAGAGAAAAAATGCCCCTCCCCACCCGAAATTTCCGCTCCCTCTTGGATCTGACGTTAAATTATTTTGACTTTGAACTATATCTATAACTGGGTTGTCTTGTTTACAATAGACCTGCTCTATCCCGATTACAAATTAGCCGGTAAATTTGCGTCCTCATCAGCCCGCAGTTGCAATTAGCGGGATATTTGGTCGAGAAAATATCCCGAGAAATTGTAGTCTTTTGTTTCCAAAATATCCCGCTATTTGGGAAATAGCGGGCTTATTGAGACCCGTCCGAGCTAGTTTGTGATGAACGTATCGGTCTGGTGAAAACGCAATTTCGAGCTTCGGGATGATATACCGAGTCTGAAAATAGGGGGTTATTTGGCAAACTCGTGCCGATGATGACAGGCCTATTAAAGAAGCTAGGGTACTGCCCGTAAGGTCATGGTTCGGACCAGCTAGGCAACCAGGAAATTATCTAGACTAACCCTAACAGGTCCTGGTCTTTACGAGCCCCAGAGCGGGCCCAGAGCAACGATCTTGATTGACACATAACGAGCCGAGTGCGTCTCTACTTGACAGGAACTACAATAAAACAACAGAGAACAACACAAAACAGATGTACAGACCCGCTCGCCACTAACCAACATGACCAATGGGAGGAATTTACCAATTTAGATTAACAATAATATTAAAATCAAGAGTTTTCTGTTCTTTGTTTCGCATTTACTGGCGGAAATCTGTGACATCTGAAATTTTGACAGTTTAAGTAGATAATTATACCATAAAGCATAGTAAGAAACAAAATGATGTCATACGATACCCTGGATATAATTGAATAAATAATATATTGAACGGGTCATAATTATAATGATCTCTGTAGCTTGTAGGTTTCCATGGTGATTGACTATGTACACAAATTACAATTTTTTTTTTAAAGCGTTCTGTAAATGGTTGCTTTTGTGTAAAGGCTGTTGAAATGATATTAATCTCCATAAAAAGAACCCGTCTGTCCGCTCATATGGTATTTATGAAATAGAGAAAAAGAGTCGTTTCAAAAGAGGAAGAAATGAACAGAGATGGAAATTTAACTTACTTAAAACGTACAACAAAGTAACAAAGATAGTTTCATTATTTCAGTTAGTGATTATGTCACAGTAGTTTCATGTTTTGTACTATATTATGATATGTTACAATTGCATGAATTCTGTATATAAACACTGGTGTAAACAGCTGTTATTTTATGATATGAACAAATAAATCCCCCGAAAAAGGATTAATGGAAAAAGAAAAAAAAAACATTAGTAATGATGTCGATGAAATCAAATAAATGTAATAATTGGATACTTTTTATCCAATGCGGGGCACCATTGAACACTTCATTTATCAAACTACTGCATAAAAACTCAAGATAAACAAAATAATAGGAAAAGGGGAAAATAGGGAGGGGAAAGGTGAAGAATTTTGTTTATCATAATGGAGAATGACACTGGAAAAGGAGAAAAATTGATAAAAATTAACAATATAAAAGTTTTGCTTTACCAAATTTTAAACCCTTCATTCTTTGAAACTCCTTTCTCATTCTCCCATCACAAGTTTCTTTTCAAAATATTAACGACACTTCTTCATCCGTCTGCGCACACTGCACTGAAATAGGATCCAGATGTTTAGACAAAAAGGGCGCGAAAAGAATTTGTCAAAAATCACAAGCGATTTCCGCCTGACATAAACATGATATGTTAGACATGAGAAAGGTCAACGCTAAGAGATAAAGTGAAAGGGACCCCGACGTAAAGACAGATTATCAGCCCAAACCACTATATTCCATGAATAAAATAAAAAGTATCAGACACGGTTCTGATCTTATACGTACTGAAAGGAAATTGGTTGCAATTATCCCCGTTCCGCCCACTTGTCACATGTGATTTTAAGAGTGAAGATGTAAATGTCCAGGTGTTGGATATATCTCAGACGAGTTGGTTCACAACTTTTCATATTTCCTTGTCGTTCAGAAGAATAATGTGATTAGCCTAACGATGCCATTGATTTAAAGCAGCTCTTTATGTCTTCTGTTGTGAAGTGGATATAAATGTCAAACGTAATTTCGACACAAAGCAGAGATATAGTTTCTGAATAAAGACTGACAGTTCTCTCTTGTCAGTAGTGCATTGGAAACTTAATAGCACAAAGAGAGGAAGGTTTGCCGAATTTATGAAATTTCCTGAAATTCGTCAAATAAACAAAAAGGAAGGCCGTCCTTCCTGTTAAAATATAGTTTTGATATATGAAGACAAATCACACAGGTGTTAAAAAAGATAAGCGACGGTTTTTGACAATTCAGATGAAAAATAAGTCACGTATCAAGTTCTTATTAGTTCGTCATTTTATTTTCAAATGCACGATTTATTCTTAGACCTTTGGCGATTGTAAAATATGCAGATACATGGGGAATATGTCCTTATTAACATCATAAATGTTGTCTACATTATGTTATAAAGGAATATATCCCCCGATGAGTATTGATTGCTTTTAAATTTTAATACGACATTTATGATTTTTAAACAGAGTTAATAAAAAAAATAGATGCTGGCTCCAAGTCAATTATCACTCTACTACAGTTTTCATCTTCAACAATAATGTCACACCTTTTCGTGTTATCAGATCTTCTCGCGTCCTTCTTCCTTAAAGCTAAAGACCAGTTATGGTCATGCGATTGCATTGTGAAAGAAACGTTGTGGAATCAATCAGAAAAGGTTGATCATCTAGCATCTAGCATCTGCAAGGTTCTGGAATCATCAAAATGATAAGAAAATTGGCCCATTCTTCGTAAAATTACAAGCACTATACACAGAAAGATGTATATGGGACTACCCTATATCTCTCACAGACCATGAGAGAAACAAATTTACCAAATATATGAATTAGTAGGCGGTTTCCCGGCAAATTTTTTATCATCATGTATTAGTCAAAACATATTCTTTTACAAGATTGGTAATGAGAGCTTCCATTTCATTTTTTGAAATTGGGGCGTTTCCAATACTGGTCTTTACCTTTAACAACGCTTTGACATATTTTAACTCTTTCATTTCATCTCTAATTAATTGCAGGTGGCGAAACAGAAGAGAGGAAGAAAAATGTTAGTGACAGCAACATGCATCGAATATAGGGTGTTGATAAGTTGAAAGGGGAAATATGAAACGACCGCTTCCGAATATCCTACGTTCCCACGGGATATTTAATTCATCATCATCAATCATAAACTTTGTGATCTTCCTTTTCTCACCTCAGATCACAATGGCGGACCCAGGATTTTGTTGCGAGGGGGGGGGGGGGGTGGGCATTAATCAAACACAAACGGGCAAACAAGACAAAACAGGTATCATTTGTTCAGCCCCCCCCCCCCACACCCTGTATCCGCCACTATAGATCGGCTCCCACCGTACATTATTATCATCATCTAAAGACGGTCTTCATTCATGATAAAAACAACAACATGCATAAGGGTCGAACCTGGAGGGAGGGGAGGGGGGGGGGCACTTTGGCAGTAACCCCCATCCTACCGAGCACCCATCCCCCCCCCCTCAAAAAAAGGAAGAAAAAAAATAGAAGAGGAGCGGGCGGAGATACATGTATGAAGTTGTTTTCATGATAACCGAAATTGTGGGCTATAATGAATCAACTTTGAAGTTAATTTGCCTTGTGTGTTGTTCTTCTGTTTGAACCCGTTCTCCCAATCTTACGAGAAATAAACTTGATACATAAGAGGGTTTTACCAACACCCTCCCCCATACACACAAACTCCCATCCCGCTTCTCTCTCTCTATATATATATATATCATATAGATGTTTATAACTTTCCTCTCTCTCTCTCTCTTCCCTCACACACACCTTTTCTCTTTTATTTTAATCCAATTTACCCCCTTATTCCGTAATTTTCCTCCTTCCACATTACATTTTCACCACAAGGTCACGCCAATTAAAAATAAAACAAATTCGTTTATTGTATTCATTTTATAAATTTATCAAATTCAGAAATAATTGCAATTCATTTGTAATGGAATAGATAATCAAGTCACATTGTAATATTATTTGAATTATAATTCCATCTACTTGGTAGGAACAAGAACTTCTTGGTAGGAAGAAGAAAAAACACGACACATACGTTGATATCAGATACCATCTTTATTAAAAACAAGTATTGTGAAAGTTAAATCAACTACACTGACATAAACTATATACGAGTACATCTCGGTAGCCATTTTGACAGCAGATGTAGGATGAGTTGTGAGCCATTTAATGAATCTCTTTCAGAAAATTGCAAATATATCAGGGCCTTTTATTTTCCTATCGGCAATAAATTAATGGTAAAACCGTGAACTTTCTTTCTGTCGGTTAGAAAGTTTTTCATCCTGTAGGCAAATTTTCAAGAATTTTGTCCGATGTTAATGGGTCGGGCGGTGTGAGAATCAAATTGCTAAAAATGACCCCCCCCCCCCAAAAAAAAAAACAACAACAACAACAACAACAACATACAAGCCCCATGTCCTTTCGCCTTCCCAAGAAAAAAAAAGGTTCTCCGGATCTGCAATAATCTTTTGATTTTTTTTAAATAACGCTTTCAAACATTTTTCCTAACACAACCAACACAAGTATGACAAAAAAAACACATCGAAAATGTTGAATGTGAGGGGCGTCACCTTATAAGCGACCCCCACTCCTAGTCATTTTTCGAAGGTTCATTTCATTTCTAAGCTTTTACACAACTTTTTTCTCTCTGGGTCGCGGAGGTAATTTTCGCATCTTGACTTTTCCTTGACTTGCCGTTTCCATTGAAGTCCTGTAAAAGGAGGAAAAAATAGGAAGTAGGACCCAAGTTGTAAAATAACCCGCTATTTTAACTAGCCCGATCTCAAATCAGCCAGCTAATTTGCGTCTTAATTAGCCCGCAGTTGCAATTAGCGGAATATTTGGTCGAGAAAATATCCCGAGAAATGCTGGTCTTGTTTACAAAATAGCCCACTATTTGGGAAATAGCGGGCTAATTTGCGCCCGTCTTCATCTAGTTTGTGATGAGCGTATCGGTATGGTGAAAACGCAATTTCGAGCTTCGGGAAAATATCCTGGGTCTGAAAATAGCGGGTTATTTTGCAACTTCTCTCTCGTCAGTAAGGCATTGGATTGTTCGTATTGGACGGATTGCAACCAACATTCACATTTTAGAACATTATCGAGTTCTGGGTCATTTAATGAAACTTGTTATCGATAGCAAGTTGCAATAGATGTTATAAGCTACTGAAACCGTTGCATTTGATTGGCTGAGAGCAAATGGTCATAGAAAAGTGACACTTGTTATCGATAACAAGTTTTAATGAAACGCCATGTAGGGCATGATACAAATTATCTAATGAACGGATTCAATAGAAAGTGAATCAGGGCTGAGCAAAGAGTAATGACCAAAGAATGGAAAGATGATGAAAATTGATCAATTCGACCTGCCGAAGAAGGAGGTGTAACGAACTACCAACTATACATTACGAGCTAAGTTTTAGTTGTTCGTAACAATTATTATCTGATAGCAAGCAAGAAATATGCTTGAGAAATAACGATAGAAAAATTATTTATTGAAATATAACACTAATTTCATTGCATTTAATGCAAATAGAATAAACATTTTTCAAATGTTTAATCTATTTTCCTACATTGAAGAATTGAAATTCACAAAAGTCGAAGTGCAGTAAAAAGAGAAGAAAAAAGATCTAACCTGCAAGTGCTAACTTTAAATTATAACCAATCTTAAATATATTTTTTTTAAAGGGACCATGACTTTAAAACACACCGGGGGAAGAATAAAGAATAAAAAGTAAAGGAAACAAACAAAGCAAAAACGAACAAAACAAAAGCAAAAACAACGAATAAGTCGCAGACTGAAACCAAGTTATGTAATAATATAAAGTTGTTTTGAATGATTGTTCAACATACAATGTACATGCTTATCGTAGTTTTGTATTTTTACCACTTTGGACCCTCCGTTCAGTAGACTAATAACCGTCCACTTTACCTTTGGGCTATTGTAATTTTATAATTCCATGGATGAATTGCGATTAAAAAAGATGAAAGAAGAAAATGAGAAGAAAAAAATTCAAGCCATAAAAGATCTGAGAATGTGACAAATTTGTAAATAGAACTAATGATTTATACATACTTTATTACCTGTACGAGAGTTATAATGAGTAAGTTGTCCAGAGGAGAGAAAATAAAAACAAACAGATTATCGTGCAGAATTCACAAAATAATGAGAGAGAAAGAGAGAGGGGGGACATGGGGGAGATGGGGAGTGGGAGAGAGAGAGAGAGAGAGAGAGAGGGGGACAGAGAGATAGAGAGGGGGGACAGAGAGAGAGAGAGAGAGAGAAAGAGAAAGAGGGGGGGGGGGGAGAGAGAGGTGATGATGAGGATGAAGATGATAATCATGAATAACAATTATCAATATCATCAATATCATCATCATCATCATCATCGTCAATATAGTTTATTATTATTATCATTATCACCATCATTATTATTGTCGTCATCGTTTTTTCCTCACCTCTACATCTTTCTCGACATCGCCGGATTTCAACGCCACCCTAGCTGTCTTCACCAGTAGAAGGAGTATGATGATGATGCCAATGCTGAAGAGCAGCCATTCCACGCCGACGATGATGTTCCATACCTCCACAAAGCCCAACTTGAATTCAGCGACTATTTGGTCGTTTGCTTCGACGCTCTGTTAAAATATGACGAATAACAAAATACAAACTCATTGTTTTTCCCATTTCAAGGCATTTGTTTCGATACATGCATGTAAAATTGCTTTCCTTGGCCGAATAATTTGTACCAGAATTTTAGACTTTCTTCTCCAAGCATACTAAAAGTGGGGTATTGGCATAAATTCAGGTTACTGATCGTGATTAGAGCCATAGTGGGTAATTTCGGCGGAGTAGTAGAGTGTACCCAGCCATTGAGGGCCCCTGGTATGATAGTGAGGGTGGGGGCGTGCATCAGTCAGGTGCATAATGACAATTAGCAAAGGCCACCAATAAGGGAGTTTACAGATAGCACATGGTACAAATGACCCCAAATATCCACAGATCTTTTACACATGGAGAAGTTTCACTTTGAGCATCTTAGAATAATAACTGCCAAAGTTATATGTGCTTCATGAATATCTTTTGTTTGCCCTCTTGAAAAGAATACTTCCACCTGCGTATCTTAGAATGTACTGTTGGTGCATAAATGAATAATGTTACATAACTTTCATGAGCGCATATCCAGTATTCATCTCTGTGGGTTTTACCATTTTGGTACAAATGACCTTTATCTGCCCATGCGCAGATTGTATCTGTAAACTCCCTTATATGACGACGGTGCTTGTGGGGGAGAGTTCCAATACCTTGTCAGGTTCCTTTCCCCCTTCTCTCCTTCACCTCCCCATCCCACTTCCACAATATTAAAGGGTCCATAACCCCCACTTACTTTGTTTGGATACGCCATGGGGGAAGTGGGGGTGGGGGGGGGGGGGTAGGGGGGGGGGGGTAGGGGGTATTTACCTGTTCAATCCAGAGCAGGGGTAGATACATCTCACGAATTTCTTCGGTTTCTCTGCATTAGGACGAGAATAACAACTGCGAAATACATATATAAAACATAAAATACATGTTTGTGTAATAGATAACTAGCAAAAGAGTATATGAGGTGAGGAGAGGGAGACAGAGAGGGAGAGGGAGACAGACACAGAGAGAGATAGAGAGAGAGAGAGAGAGAGAGAGCCGGAGAGAGAACCGGAGAGAGAGAGAGAGAGAGGGGAATTAAGGGGGAGACAGAGAGAGAGAGAGAGAGAGACAGACAGAGAGAGAGAGAGAGAGAGGGGGAGACAGAGAGAGAGAGAGAGTGGTATTCACAATACATGTATTTTACAGAGACTAGGGTTCGAAGAAGTGGATGCCTAACCCCATCTCTTATCATCCTTTTTTTCTTGGTAGAGCTAAGGACATGATACAAAACTAAGTCGATCTTGATCATAATTATTTAGATAGGATTCGCTCTCCCCACGAGTCATCATACTTTGGCCATGTGAGGGCGCCCGACTAGTAATTTTAGTGGTCAATGTGAACTTTCGTCATCATTATACAAACTAATGGTCTAATGGGTATTTTAAAAGCGACCCTTCCCCGTTCCCGTTACGCTACGACATAAATAGATTAGATCAATCGATCAAAACTCAAAAAAATTGTAATCTGTCAGAAAGACTTACCTGATCCCGCCCACTGGTTTCACAAACATGTTGATCTGGACGCGAAACTTCATCACAAAGGGAATACCAGTTTTCTGTATGAGGAGCAATTGAAAATTTCATTTGAAAATTAAAATACCCCAAAAGAATCGTCTCATTAATACTAATTAAGTCAAACGGAGATTTTTGACTATGATACAAATGATGATGATGATAATGATGATGGTGGTGACGACGACGACGAAGATGGTGATGGTGAGTGATGATGAAGATGATGACGGTGACGTTGATGACGAGGATTATGGTGAGGGGTGGTGGTGGTGGTGTGGATGGTGACGGCGATGATGATGATGATGACGACCACCTCAAAATTGTTGATAATAATAATGACGAAGATGAAAAACAACCATCTCATCTCATTGTTTTCCTGTTAATAAGTTAAACAAATAAACTAGTTTACCGGTTCTACTTCCATATAGCTGTCATGAAGCGAGGAATTAGGTGACAAGCCATCGACGTCATCAAACAAAGTTTGTTGACCTCCTAAGAAATGAGGATTGGATATCGCTACCGGACTTCCTGTATCGAACAAACAAAGTAAATTTTCAACAGATGTTCTTTTTTATCATTCTAAATCATCTTGCAGGCACTTTTATTGACATGTTATCCATCTTTCATGGATAATAGCTCCTACTTGTTGTTTTTGTATCTTACCATGATTGAATTATATATGAATCTTTTAATTTGCCAGTTGTTACAAATGATTTAGGCTATTTCACTAAATAGACAGTTTTGTCGTTTTCCATAATAAAGTAACGTCCATTAGAATGAAAAGTTGTAATATTTGGTTTTGTTTGGTCTTCGGGATAAAGTATATAAACATATCAGATAATTTTTACGTGTTAAAATTTTTAGGATTTTGATAGAAAAAATATAGGTCATGTAAAATATAACAATAAAAAACTTGTCATTTAAAATTTCTAGCTCTTCCTGGTACATTGTACCAGTTCAAAACAGTTTGTTTTTAAAAAATGATAACAAGAAATGTTGCCATTCTTATTCTTATAAGCATTTAGCATCTTATCTCATTAGCATTTAGTCTTTGGCATTTACATAATAATGCCGATTCGCTTTCCATTTATGATTCAGTCACATAATATTGAATGAATCGATTAAAGCCCGTCTGTGCTAGTTTGACCAGGGGGGGGGGGGATTAGACCATCCAGCGTGGTCACTCAGCTCTCAATTAACATAAAAGAGGGTCATGGGCCGGTACCAACGGGCACCGCTTAGGCATGCTATACAGAGGGCACAAGTAGCTACAAGTAGACATTGCAGTCCCGCTTTAAACAAATGTTTGTTCACCAAAATGGCAGGGGTCTTGTCGCATCACACCCGATGGTCCACACAGCTCTCGTTGACCGCTACAAAATCCCTCGTTCGGAGGAAAAGCTGTAGCGTTCATGTAGGTAAAGGGCGACAGACTGAATTTCAGTAGTGGTATGCCCTCGTAGCTGGAGTCCTTCACAAAATCGTACGACACAGACCTATTTGACACATTAATCAATTGAAATAAAGCTCTAAGAATAACTGTCAGAATGATACAGTTTATCTTCCCAACTGGGGGAGTAGCTGCAAAGTTTTAGTTTCATGTTTCATTTCCAACAGAACAGTGATTTTGACAAGAAATCAGAAATACAATTTAATATTCAAGAATATAATACATTTTCATGGGTTAAAGTTATAAAATAGAAAGTATACATAAATATGCAGTATAATAGTTTTTTTTTTAATTCATTGTATAAGTAAAGTCTGTGGAAATTGAGGGATCCACTGAAAAGCAGAGCTTGTAAAATATGGATCCCTCAAAATAATGACAAAGACAATTTTTGTAACATGTAAATATATTGACTTGAAAAAAAATATGTATATTAAATACATAGACTACCAACCCGGCCCCCCCCCCCCCCCCACTCAGTGTTATGTAGGGTACGCATATGCGTGTTCCAACCGACCCCCCCTTTTCAGCAAAAGTCCGGTGTGTAAAGTCAATACGGCTCGACCTTTTTCTTTTGTATACGAGCCTTTTTCAGCATCCCCCCCTCTTCAGCAAAAGTCCGGTGTGTAAAGTCAATACGGCTCGACCTTTTTCTTTTGTTACGAAAAGGACATTTTGGCAACACGCATGCGGTCATTTTGAAACCTGAGTGGGGGGGGGGGGGGCCGGGACTACCAATTAGTGGCAGAATAATAATAAAATTATAAATCCGTAATTTTGAAAACTTGTTACGGCACGTATATAGTATAGTAAACACTGGAAAGGTTAAAAGCGACATTGAAGACTGACATAATTATAAGACATAAACTTATAATAATAACAAAATATAAAACAACAGAAAATAAATGAAAGGAAAGAGAGAAATGCAAGGATAGAAAATGTTGGAAAGGAATTGCATTTCCTTGCCCTCATCCATGTTTATTGCTTCTCATCACACCAAGGACGGATTCGCAAAATATTTATAAGAAAGTATAAAATAGTATATACTTTTTAGACCACTAACCTGCAAAGTGGAGGCTGATACAATTGTAGTGTGTCTGTCTTCTCGACGTTCGGATGATAAAGTGAACCATCTAGACAGAGGATAACAATATCAAAAGCCCCATGTTTCATGTCTGGTCTACAAATAAAATCTACCATTGCAGTCGTTCGCATAGGGGTTCTGGGACACCCACCTCCTGGACAACCGCCCCCGGATAACCACCCCTAGGATAACCACCCTCTAGGACAACTACCCCAGACAACTACCACCTCAGGGAAAAAATTACTTTAACCTATTCGGGGGCTACTTTTCAAGCTTGCTTGCATGAAAATGACACTCTTGAATTTGTTTTGCATTGAACTCTATGAAAAATTTGGGGGCTCTTGTAAGACTTTCGGGGGCTCTTTTGGGCATTTCGGGGGCCAATTCGCCCCGAGCCCCCGTTTATATTTTCTCCCTGTACCACCTACGACAACCATCCTCTAGGACAACTTCCTCCCTAACAACTATCCTAGGGGGCAGTTCTCTGGGTGTTAGTTGTCCGGGGGTAGTTGTCCGGGGGTTAGTTGTCCGGGGGTAAGTTGTCCTAGGGGGTAGTTATCCTAGGGGGTAGTCATCCTAGGGGATAGTTGTCCTTGGGATAGTTGTCCTAGGGGTAGTCGTCCTAGAGGGCGGTTGCCCTAGGGGGTAGTCGTCCTAGAGGGTGGTTGCCCTATGGGTAGTTGTCCTAGGGGGTAGTTGTCCTAGAGTGTAGTTGTTCTAGGGGGTAGTTGTCCTATAGGGTGGTTATCCAAGGGATAGGTGTCCGGATGCGCGCATAGGAGCTCCTTTCATCAAGGGATGCGGGCTCTAGTCTGACTTTTTAACTTCGAGCATTACGAGCAAGCGAGCAAAATCTCGATACTCTTATTAAAACCCGACAGTTATGAAACATCATTAAACAAGTAACCCTTTACCAATTCGAAGCTGAATATAAGTGAGCGGTAATTTTGAAACTGGGGGGGGGGGGTGCACTGATGTTTAGGAGGGGTGTGTGGAGGGCCCGTATCATCTTATAAAAATGTAATTTTCCCCTCTCCCTCTCTTTCCCTATCCTTTCTCTCTTTCTCTCCTTTGTCTCATTTTCACCAAAGAGAGAAAGATTTATGTTAGATCGTCACAATAACCATAATCTTACCTGTGCTTTCTGCGATTTCATTAGCTTCATCTGACCACCAGAAAGGCAGGCTTTTCTTGCCATCTACTCTTTCAATGTGATTGATTAAGCTCCCGTTTTCTTTTCCAGTGAACACGTTGAATTGCCCGACGTATGTAGTATTGAACTAATAAAGAGAACACATATTATTTCGACAAATTATGATTGTGACAGTGTAATTCTGTTATCAAAATAGGCGTTATAAAAAAAAAAGTTATGTCAATTTCACAGAAAGACCACCTCCCTGAACGAATATGGGTGGTGACGGATGCCCCAAATAATTAAGTGACGATTGGGGGGGGGGGGGGGGTTATTAAGTCAATGATATCAAAGCTTTGTTTTTAGCCTTTTACACCCTCTTTTCGATCACAAAAAAACGTATGCTTGAGATACCTCAGTCCCACCGAGGAAACCGACAAAACACTGAACTTAAATTACTTGTATACTCCAAAATAATGAGCAAGATTTGCTGCGAGTCTGGAGTCGGTTAAGCGGACGGGTTGTAACTAGTTTTATCCCTAGTCACAGCATCCGAGTCCGACATCAAACCGGGAGAAGACCGAACTAAACTAATAACACTTTACCCCGAATGGCCAGGATTTGGTGGTAGCAAATGGGATTGAGGTGAGGATTAGATAGAGGTTTAAATAAAACGTCGTTGGTTGGCATTAGGTTGGGTTTATATTTTATACAGCAAAGTAAGTAACTGTGACCTCGGGGCTATTACGCAAGAGCATCGCACGACCACTATAATCATGAGGACTCACTCCAACAAAGTAACCGAACCGACCCGACTCGAATGCGGGCGGGACTGTCTGGAACTGCTTCGCTACGACTAGAAGAGGCTCGTAGTATCCCCACATCATCTCGGAGATCGTCCTCGTGACGATGACTCGCTCATCGAGCTCGTAGAGGAGACCACGGATTGCCGTACGAACCAGGAATTGATAGTTTTTCATGATGTGAGCAGTCGTCTGGGGGGAGAGGGGTAGAGAGAGAGAGAAAGAGTGAACAATGTATGGAAAGACAATCACTGTGTTTTAGTAGACGGGTATAGGGCTTTTGCTCGAAGTTATTTGATGATTCGATGCAAATAAATAATAGAGATTTTCAGAGAGAGAGAGAGAGAAGGGGGGGGGGTTGAGAGATATTAAGAGTTAGAAAAATTGAGAGAGATTTTCAGAGAGGGAGAGAAAGAGGGAGACACAAAGGGAGAGAGACAGTTATAGAAAGAGAGACAGATACAGAAACAGAAAGAGGGAGAGAGAGAGAGAGAGAGAGATCAGCTGGGGGCGTTTCACAAAACTTGTCATCAGTGACAAATGAATTTTTTTGTTAGAAGCTACTGAAATCCTTGCTTCTGATTTTTAAAATACATACAATCATACATATTTATGTATGATTAACAAAAGTTAAATTAACTTTTGTTCATTATATATAAATATGTACCTAGTTTGTATTTTACTCTCTATTAGGCCTATGTTGAAAAAAGAGTAGAAATAAAATCAAATAAACAAACAAAAAAATCTATAAAAGAAACTAAATAACCAAAGTCGGATATTTACCAACAGCGGAGAGTTGATGGCCGTTACGGTATCCGTCTCCGGTCCCACCGAACGATCCTCCTCAAAATAGTATCGGTAGCGTAGAAGAAAGGACACAGTGTCGTTATCGTGGAAAGTGACGTTATCGCGAGCCAACTCCATTCTTTAAAAAAAAAAAAAAAAAAGAAAGATAGAAAATACATTAGACAAGAAAAATACCTAAGTTAAGTTGATGCATCCGACACCAGACCCCCTCCCTCCCCCTCCCCCTAAAAATGAAATAAATAACTGTTACAAAATTACAATACCCAAAATGGAATCATGTTGGTTTGGCGGGGTAAAGGAGGTTTAAAAAAAAAAATAAACGTGCCACTTTTTGAAATCTGCTTCCACGACATGACCAGGGATAAAAATATTACATAAATATTTGGCATCAACTTTATTGAACCTTTTTTTGGTGGGGCGGGGGGGGGGGGCGGGGTGTCTATATAAAAAGATATATATAAAGATATATAAATAAATAAGGCGAAAGAATAATTAAAAAGTGGTAAACAGAGAATGATAAGGATGATAAGGAGAAGAAGGTTATTGTTGATCCGTCATAGCGACTAAATAAAATAATTTAGAAATAAATCCTATGCTTACCTGTACACATAAGGGCCCTTCTCTACGACCTTTGGCCTTTGACCTTTTATCAGGTCATCAGGATTTTGGATGTCAAAGAAGTACACGCTCTGATAGATGGGCAAGGAAGGTTGTTGCCACTCGGGGAAAAAGCGAGAATTGGGATCCAAAACGAAGACCTGGTGTAGGAAGATATATCAATGATATGATGAGAATCACTGGCGTAGCTTACTGGTGGAGGGGCGGGGCGCTTGCCCCCCCTAAATAAAATTGAACCATGATTTATTGTCAATTCGATACGTCAAGTGATTTACAAATGTTCGTGATATCACATGATTTTCAACAAAATGCGCGTTTCTTCATTTCTGTTGCAAACCGACACATTCCCAAATAGCCAGGAAGAGCATATGTTTGTCTATAGCCACTAGCAGTAACGATAGTAGAAAATTGCAAATGCTTCCTACTTTGGTATCCAATTTATTTCCACTGCCGTATAATGATTTATTTGGTTACGTAAAATAAATGGAATTAAACAGCAAGACTTACATGATGTATGACGTAGCCATACATACTCTCCACGGACCATGGCAGGAATAGCAATCCCGTGAAAATCAACGCCAGTGCCATCAGCAGCAAGAATGCGTGGCAGACGACAAGACGGGGTGTGCATTTTCGCTTCACACCATCCTTTGTGAGGTTCTGTTCGATGTCATCGAGCGGTCGCTTGATGAGTGGGGCCATATCGGCATCGCATTCAAAAGATGAATCGTCGTCATCATCTTCCATCATGTGCATTGTGTATTAGGTCTTCGACGAGGTTCCGATAAGACAAAATAGACCTTTACAGTCATAAAATAGTAGTTTAAGCCTAACAAAATATTTACATCCCTTACAAAAACTGTGTAACTACATGTACATGATATTTTGAAAATGACAACACAATAAATGAATGTTATCTAAATTAAAGACAACCTTGAATAATTTTGTGAGTAGAATGAATAAACGAATACCCTGAGCCTTAAAATAGTGACAATTTGGGCAAATAATACAACAGTGGAGTGTCACAAAAATATATAGGCCTATGTTCCTTGCAATGATGCACTTTGATACAATTTATTATTTATTTTGTATTTATGTGTTTATTTCTAATCTGTTGTCATGGTAGCCCATTCGCCCATAAGTAGTGGTCTTTCATGGGGCTCTGAATAATAATGCACATATTTGCATCAGAAAGCATAACATTTATAAGAAACAGTTAAAATAAAAATCTATTGAAGAGCAGGGCTGCGTACCACAAAACCGTCATAAGTACAAGTTCAGCGACATCCCATTGAAATGCGTGTATTAAGTTTAACACGCGTTTCAATGGGATGTTGGTGAACTTGTACTTATGACGGTTTCGTGAGACGCAGCCCTGATCACTAATTTTGCTTATAAAACCCGCGAAATCAGAGAGAACAAAATGTAGGCTTTATCTTATACAATATTACAGGTCGAATAATCTTGACTGTCTAATGTACAATGAAGACTACTAGTATACAACATGTTATCCATGGATCAATAATGAGAATTTGTATGTAATCAAAAAAAGATCCATTTACCTGTTGACTTCGCTCCAATATGGTAGTCTCTCACGCACTGTATGTCGACTGCTTCTAGCTACATCCACTTTCCAAGTGCCGAACAGCGTATCGTTATACATGAACCGTTTCTCTAGAGGATCGATTAAATTACAATTATAGCAAATATTTATGTAAATGATCCTCCTGAATACCCATAACATTTCCAGGTGCAAGTATTCGGTACATGATAAGCACTCTTTTTGTCATCTAACCCCATTCAGACGGGCTAATTATATTTCAAACCGACCGCCGATGTAGATAAATCTTTACCACTCGCCTGACTCGGGTGTAACGTCATTTTTTTTTTCTCGTTAGGTCTGTCGGGGCGCCATTTTGTTCACGAAAACGTCATACGTACAGGTTTGCCGACATCCCATTGAAACGCGTGTTTGATTCAAAACGCGCGTTTCAATTGGATGTCGGCGAAATTCTACTTATAATTATGACGGTCTTGTGAAACGCTGCCCTAGTGTCGTTGACTTTTTTTTGGGGGGGGGGGGGGGGTGTCTCATTCACATCGCTAAATCGATTCCCCAAACCCAAACCAACCTGTTCTTGCAGGCAGTGAAATAGCGCGGCTCAGTCAACATTTTTCTTAAATTCACGGCACCCTTTTAGGATTTCATTTAAGAATTATCATGTTGTCCTGCATTATTGCTACACATATTAATATTAATTTTTAAAGAGCGTTTTCGAGTAATCTTTCCCTTTATATTGTCTCCGTTTTGTTCCTTTTCCTTCATCTCTGTCCACACGCTTTCACCGTTTTGTTTGCCATTCGATGTGGAGGGGGTGGTGTGTAGCACGTGCCCCCCCCCCCCCCCCCCCCCCCTTGTACTACGCCACCGCTTGCTAACCGTTAGAAATAATGTAATGTTTTGTATCCGGCTTTTCTGTTTAGTGTAGGTTTCATCGATGTGACGGGGCTATCAGCTTAGCATGCATGCATGGTCAAAAGCCGTGTTCAGACGGACGTAGATTATCCTTGAGCATTTGAGGACTTATGGGGCGTTGCAAGAAAATTGCAACAATTTATCATTGCAAATCCCCCAAATCAAGCGCAAGTTTTGCGATTAATTGCAAATTTGCAATTGATCGCAACTCAACTTTCTTACAACGCCCCATTAGTAAGAGAGAGAGGGAGAGAGGGAGAGAGAGAGAGAGAGAGGGCGGGGAAGAATGAAAGCTAGATCTAGCTAACTTAATTTAATCCTATCGCAATTCTAGGAAATTTAGGAGACTAGTGGGACGTTGCAAGAAAGTTGAGTTGCAATCGATTGCAAAGATAACTTGCAATTCACACAGGGCCTACGATCTAGTCGAGGATGATAAAACAGTTGTACGTTCAGAAGGGAAAAAGTGCATGGCTCATAATGCATAATTCATGTAATAAACAGTGCTATCGTTATGAAGTTCCCCAAATCTTAGGTGGTTGCCTAAAGCTTTATGATAGGATTCATTTTAGCTGTCCATACGTGGTGCATTTGAACTGATGCTATTATAAGACAGACATAATCCGCTAGTCCCTATGCGCAAGAGTGCAATGTCAAACTGCGATGTTTAGCATGCATGGCGGGATATCACATCGTACGGACCCAGATGAGATCTGCGGTAAGAACACGACTCATTCCCCCATGATCTATGATCACTTCACGAATGTTACATTAGGGTTGTGTTCAAACAAAAATTGTGTCTACTTTAAAAACATGCTTTTTGTCTAACTTGGCCACAAAAAAGGAATAGGCCTACAATGAAAATCCACAATATTCCGTTCTTGTATACGCATAACACAAGTCATTATAACGTCCCTATGCGCTTCCAACGAGCTTAGCAAATTATCACCCTAGTTGTAGCTCTGGCAGCCGTTATCAGCGCATAGTGTATATCGAGGAGCAGGTAATCATTTTCTTCATCTGGGTGAAGTGTGGCAAATGTAGATTAAACATATACTGCATAATCAAATATAAGGCGGGAAATTTGGCTAGGTATTGTACCCGCTCGTGTTTTTCGGTTCTAACATTGCAGAATTAAAAATATAACCTCAAACATTCCCGAGAATATCCCCTTCAAAGGGATAGTTGAGTTCTGTTTTCAGACCGCAAATTGCTTCAAAGTGCATGGTTATTGCACTTATTCTTATCTATGACATTTCTAGTGCCATTTCAGAACCTACAATTGCTATCAAGGTAATTTTAGACCCCAAAATGTATGAAATTTAGCCAATATGATCATACGATTTCAGCTCCACTTTCAAAAAAATATGGTGACCGTTAATTAATTATTTAATTAAAAATAACAATACATGGGCAGGCTGGTTGTGCGTAATATAAACAACACGAAAATGCCAACAAAAAAGGCAACGTAGGCATTGGCTGAAATACGACGTATAAGGCGCTTTTTCATTTTTCAACGGCTTTTTCAAATGATCTAATATTTGTGGGGGTACACAAGACAGTATTAGAAATCGTTATATTTATGGATATTTCAGCCGTCTCTGAACCGATTTTGTTCAAGCAAAGATGATGTCGTCATTTATATCGTATGTTCTTATAAATTCAACACAAAGTTTTTCATTATCTCACAAAAAATAGTTTGTGTAGCGCCCTCTGCAACAGAGCTCAACTTTCCCTTTAAACACAACGCTTCTATCCATCTCATGCGTAAAACAAATTCCATAATTCCGTAATACGATTGTGGCCTCATAATCCTGTTGGTAAATCAGTTGTGAGTCAAGGTGTGGTGATTATAGTGGCATGTAGAAAATTATAATTATTGAATATGAGATTAATATACGATAATGGTCGTATATATTTACTCAAGAAACGTGACACCGACGATATACCAGCAATTATCGGGAAAAGCCTCACGACCTTAAATCTATAACCCCGATTAACGTTGAAAATTCTGTTGTTTTTTTCCTATATGCACGTGGATGATAGCCTATATACTTAAAAGTGGAAGTCCACTCTACTCTGATATAACAGTTGGTTTAAATATAGAAGCAGAAAATGAGGAAACAGGTCTATGAATGTTTGAGCAAAAGCCGATTAAAATATTTATTCAAAAAAAATCATTTTGAAGGCGCAATTACTCACACACAAAGGGCAACACTGTGACATATCTTGCGAGCTCCCCTCCCATCTATCATGCAATAAAAAAGCGTTAAGAGTTTAAATTTTCCTTAAGAATATTTTAAATCATACATTTACCCTAAATATAATGATTTGCAAATATGTTTCTAATCGGATAATGCTCAAACTTTCACTATTTTTTTTCTATTATTAGGTGAATTCTGGTAATATGTGCTTTCCTGGTGCTCCGGCATGTGCTCTGTACGGCGACACTCGTGAAAATTGCCACCGGTTGATTTCGTCAAAGTTGTAAGGTTAGGTTTAAAGCCCCACTGTCCTACTTGTAGCTACTTGCTCCCTCTATATAGAAAACTTCCCCAATCGGTGCCTGTTGGTCCCCCATGATCCTCTTTTTCTTATGTTAATTGAGAGCTGAGTTAATGAGATAGCCACCTGTCAGTGACCTCGCTGTGTGATCTAATCCCTTCTGGCCCAGTAGTATTGACGGTCTTTAAATGGATTGGGTATCTTTGTCTCAGATTCTAAATAAAATCCTGGATATAGCTCATGCTGTAATCATGATTATAAACCTTTAGGTCAGTCAGGAATCCCATGACGTTTACAAGTCGATCGCCCGTCTGATTATCAAGATATTAATGATTTATAACACTACAGTCTATTGGGGGAAATAAGTATGGTAAAACCGGTCACTCAAAGATTTTTACTTTTTTGAGGCACTTCCCCGGCCGCGTCTTATTTTTTCGTACCACGGCGAGCTCAGATTCCAGTATGAACTCATTTTCATACATAACAAGCTACGTAAAGCTTGCAAAGAGGTCACAAACAATTAGACTTTGATTATTTATTGCTTTGCCTCACTATTTATAAAAGCAAAAAAACTGAATAAACTGAGACTTGAACCCTTAAGTCAACTACAAAGTGTTATTAGTAACACGCCGTCCTTGCCGATTGAGCTAAGTAACTATGAGTTGATGACAGCTTGATTTGTAAAATTGCTATCACCCTATTGACCACCCTACCGGATTCCAAGTGCGCATGCGCTGGTTTCCTTCACGAGTGCGCATGCGCAGGTTTCCCTCGCGAGCTCGTTGTTGTTGTTGTTGTTTTAGTTTTAAGGGCGTGTGTCATTCAATTGTGAATATTTACGCCGATCTGGGCTCGCCGTAGTCCAGATTCAGTCCGTTCGTTCTTTTTATCCCCCACACACAGTGCGGTCTCTCCACTGATCGCGCAATCCCCAAATTTCCAGATTTAGAGGAATGGCTAGGTCTACTTTCAACGTTGAGGGTGTGTTATTTTATCAGCTAATTGGGTGCGCTAAACGAAAACGGTACAGAGGTTGGACTAGGCTAGCCGTGGTACGAACAAATAAGACGCTCCCCGGCCGCGTGATTGTTTTTCCCACTTGAGCTCCGGACCCCAGTATGAACTCATTTGCATACAGCCAATCAGAGCTCATCTTGTTAATAACAAGCTTTAGGCGTGCTAAAGATGCGAAATTCGAAACGGTGCAAAGCTCTGGGCTTCACACACGTACACACAGCGTCTTGCCTATATCAACATGCATGGTGTGCGTGCATAGGCATAGGCTTGCAAATGTTTAATTTCTGCTCTAGCATCTCTACCTTTAGTAAATCAGCTTATCAAATTGCTGTGAAAAAGTGTTACTTAGCACTATAAAGTTAAAATTACTCTAGCAATCAAGGATAGGCCTTTCTCGTCATCGAAGCCACTATGAATTATAGGTGCTCATTTCTAAAGATTTAACCGCGGAGTGTATGTCACCGGAACATACATAGCCTACGGCTTAGAACCCATCATAATTGTCCGCCTTTTTGGTGATGACTCAGTATTATGCAACGGGGCCCTTGTACGCCCAAGAAGTTTTAAGAGATGGAGTCATTATCTAGCTCATTCCCTTTGAACCATCTTCGATGCCGCCATGAGAAAATATGTCAGGCATGTGCTTAACTGGATCT